ATTCTGGTTGTTTTTCTTTACAAACAAACAAAAAGTTTGGAGTCACGTCTGCCGTCGAGTCCTGATTAAGTCTGATTTAAATCCATTATGTGCTTCACACAGCGATGCTCTAATCTTACAAATCAATCACAAACGTTTTGCATTTTGTGAAAACTTTGCTCTTTGCTTCGTTATTTTTAATTTAGACGCGATTACGTGAGAGTCCTGCGAGACGACGTCGGTGTTTCTGACCTCAGCAAACAGCAGAAACACACGAGTCTGTTGCATCTTAATCAGGCAGTTTGGACCCGTCGTCTGCTCCTCAGCCTCCAGTTTGTTGTTTTAATCTGATAAGACGATTGGATTTTAGCGTTAAAAGGAGGAAAAGTCTTCCTCTCGCAGATTTACATACTTAAAAAGGAGGCGAGGGTCCCGGGTGGATGGGTTCGGGCGGCTCCATCGGCCCCAGCGTTAAGATCAAAAAGTTTGAAATTAAAACTTGAGCGGCGGAATTAAAGCGGCCGAGGTCAGCGAGGAGTAATGAGGCGCCGACGTTTGAACGGCACAGTGAATAGTAATTATTACTGCAGTCAGACGGACGCACTGTTTATCAAGGTCGCTGTGAAAATCCCACCGATTGTCTCCCACCAACACACCGACACGCCCTCGCCTCAGCTCCCGGTGTGTTCGTGAACGCTCGTGTTTCTGCCTTTATGAGACGTAAACAGAAGCACAAATAAAACAGCTTTTAGTCAGAAAAACAGCAGAAACAGCAGAAAATCGACCCAACTGCACCGACCTTGTTGGTTAATCCATTAGCTGTTTTCTACCTGATTCAGTTGTTGTTTGGTTGTTATAAAGGCAGAAAATTACAAAGTCCACGATAACAGATGTCTTGTTTTGTCCAGAACTAACTTATATTCAACTAACTGTCATAAAGTAGGAAAGAAATCTGAAAATATTCACAGAATGTCGACTTTATGTCCTAAAAATATGACCTAATGTCATATCTGAGGACTCATCGATAATTTATCAGAGCCAGAAACTGTAAAAACTGGGAAAAAATGGCAGATTTTCAGATTTCCAACAGTCCTTGAACTACTCGTCTGTGACTTCCTGTGAAAATTGATCAAATCTGAGCTTAAAATCTGAATATTTCATCAGCAGTGTTTATGCAAATCAGACAAGAGACAAGTTGAAAATGTAAATAATGAAATATCTACAGGGTATAGCGTTAATATTTTATATTTCTGTTGGTGTTGGTCTCACTTGTGGACAGTTTCGATGAGTTGTTTGATCAGAAAACGACAAAAAAAAAGAGTCAATTTTCCCCAAAATGCAAGTTGACAAATTCCTTGTTTTGTCCATAAAGCCAAAGATGTTCAGTTTACAGTCATAAATTAGGAAAGAAACCAGAAAATATTCACTTTTAAGAAGCTTCAAACACAGAATTTACACATATTTTTATAAAAAAAAATTACCCAAAATAGTTGACGATTAGTTAAAAAGTTGGGGACAAATCTATTTTATTGTCGTGTATTAAGTTAGATGTTTGTTTGTTTGTTTGCTCTCATTTCAACACATATGAAGCGTCTGAATGCATTTATTTGGAATGTTGCACCAGAAACATAAAACTTGTTACGTTCACATGTTGTGTGTAAAAAATAAAATCGTTCCACCGCCTTCCTCTGGTGCATGCAGCATGCAGCAGGCGTCGACTCCACAAAACCCAGAACCGTAATTAGAACCGGGTCAGTCCTTTGCATGATTCAGGAGTCCAGAGTCGGTGTTTGTCCCGCGGTCGGGCAGAAAAATGCAAAGCAGCCGATGTGCCGGTCTGCAGAAAGTGTTGTCTGAATACAGAGTTATGCAGAAATAATGACGAGGTCGTGAAGATAAAGTTCACATTGTGTACAAGTTGTTTGTTTATGTGTGAAAGCAGGTTTTTGTTTATTGTTTACGTTGTTCTGCTGTCGTTTAGATGTGATCTTATTAAAAATTGAAGCCATTTTAAGTCTAAATTTGGTGAATTTTCCCAACTGAAGGGCTCAGGATGAATGAGCAGTTCAAGGACTGTTGGAAACTTCAAAACCTGTTCGTTTTTTCTGTTTTTACAGCTTCTGATTCTGATTAATTGCCTAATTTTGGCGATTTATTAAACATAACGTGATTTATGGACCCGGAGGTTTAACACAGCGGAGCTCTGGGTCGCCGCTGAAGTCCGGTGTCGTTATTCTCCGCCTCGGCCGGGTTCGTTCTGTTATTCAGAACCGTTCCTCTCCTGTTCCTCTGCAGCCGGCCGAGCTGTGAGCTGAAGAATAATGACTTGGCTGTTTTTCATTTTTCATTCTGCTGAACTTTGCGCCGCAGGTCGACATCAGCGTCCCGACTCTGCCCAGACTGAGGCCCAGCGACAGCCTGCAGTGCGTCTTCGGCGACTTCCGGACCGGAGGAACCGTGATGGCGGAGGACGGCCGGGTGGAGGTCACCTGCTCGCTGCCCGACCCGGTGGAGATCCCGCCCACGCCCGAGCAGCAGGGTGAGTCCAGGAGCACCTGTCTGGTTCCCTGAGTTCTGTCTGACAGGCAGAGCTCCACCTTCTTCTGTCTCTGCCTGTGTGGATGGAAAAAATAACTAATTTTAATGTATTTCTGTTGGTTTAAGGACCAATTTGTGCTTTTTTTGTTTGTTTGTTTTTGATAATTCCATCTTCAGTTTTTTAGTTTTAATTGTTTCTACTGCGATAAAAATAAACAAAAATCTCTTGTGGATTATCAAAGCTGATCTAAGTCTAAGTTTAAACTAAAAAAAAATCACAAAATCTACAAATTTATGATCAGAAAATATGAATTAAAGAACAGCTCCTCCTCGTCTATGCATGTTTATTGACAACATGTTGCTAAATATTCAGGTTTTGTTTGTGTAGTTCCTCTCGCTGCCTCTAGGGGGAGACACTGCAGGTTTAACGTGTGTGTTCCTAATCGGTGTCTCTCTGTGTGTTGTCAGACTTCGTGTCGGTTCCGGTCCGGGTTCTGGTGAACAATCATCGAGGTTCCATCGAGGTGACGTCGGGAGAGTACCACTTCTACAACTGCGCCGCCACGGTCCGCAAGAACCAGAACACGCCGTAAGACACGCAACACACACACACACACACTCTGCTACACACACTCTGCTACACACACCAGCGCTCACCTGTGGCCTTACAGGTGCATCTCCTGCGTGACCAGCCAGTGGGGCTGCCAGTGGAACGCCGCCACGCACAGCTGCAGCGACAGCGACGAGTCGGTGGACGGAAACCACATCGTCAGACCGCAGCAGGTAGAAACGAGCTGCAGCTTCCTCGTCAGAGTTGATCCATAGATGTGTCAGATTTGAGGTTTTTCTGCTCCAGTTTGGTTTAAATGCTGGTGTTGGTTCTCTGTCAGTCAGCTCATGATGTTCTAAAGCTGTGTTCTGGTGTTCTGGTGGTTCCTGGACTCAGTGTTTCTGCTCTTGTTCTGTGGTTGAAGCCTGAGAGTTGTCCTCAGTTCGAGTCCCCGGAGCCGCTGCTCATCCCCGTCGGCTTCCAGATTCCCATCAGCTTCCAGGGCAGGAACCTGGAGAACTACATGGTGAGAATCCGTCGTCACAGGCGACCCGTAATCAGACCCGTCGGTGGTTTCTGACCCGGTTTGTCTGTGTGCAGGGCCGGAGGTTCTCCATCGGCACCGAGCTGATGAAGGCGACGGAGGAGGACGTGACCCAGGAGCAGGAGTCCAGGTTCCGGTTCAGAGGATACGAGGTCGGTGTTTATCAGACTGAACAGGACCGACAGTCTGGGTTCAACCTGGAGTGTCTCATTGATTCACTAATGACTTTATGTACTTCCTCGTTCTTCAGGTTTAGTTTAGTTACAACAACAAATAATGTCATTACTAGTTATAAAAAATGTGTTTTTGTTGGATGAATCCAGTGTTTTCAACCAAAACATTTAGTTTTAATCCAGATTTTCTTTTTTATTTGCTTCATACTTTACGTACTGACTTTTTGTTCCTGTTAATTGAAGTAACGACAGCAAATTACATCATTACTCGTTATAAAAAATCGTGTTTTGTTGGATTAAGACACTATTTTTCGGCCAAAATATGACAAATATTCAGTTTTAAGTCCAGATTTTCTCACTTATTTACTAATTATTTTACGTACTTACTTGTTCTTCAAGTTTATTTTAGTCACAACAGCAAATAATGTCAGTTCTAGTTGTTTAAAAAAAAGTGTTTTTGTCGGATTCATGCAGTATTTTTGGACAAATATTCAAGTTTTTTTGTTAAGACACAAAAAAGATGCAAACCGATGAATAAGGGAGCAAAAAGAACTCAAACACACACCAGATAGCTGCAGACACACACTGAAAGACCTGTAAGCTGATTAAAAACGCACAAAACGAACACAAATAGACGTGAAGGGACGACAGACGCACAAAAAGAGCAGAAAGAGATTAAACCTGAAACATGCAGAACAAACACCAATCGATGCTAAACGGCCACAAGGACACGAAAGAGACGCAACATGAACACGAGTCCACGTTAAAGACACAAAAACGACCTGAAGCAGATTCA